CTTTCATCCCTCTACCTTTCCAGGCTTGATGATCTTCTCCAAGGAATAGCCTCCTCTAGCAACGCTCCTGCAGTATGAGACATGGAACGCCACTTTCTTTGCCTCTAAGGAGCACTCTGACTGCACATTTCCCAGGATGGATCTCTTTATTTTTTGGCAGTCACAGGTTATTCAGTACTTTTCTCCAACACTACAGCTCAAAGACATCCATTCTTTTTTCAAGGACTGCAGCCTCCAATATATAGATTGAGGCTCAATGTCAAGAAGACAAAGATTCTCACCACTGGGCCAGTTGGCAGCATCAGGATGAATGGTGAAGCGATTGAAATTGTTAACAACTTTAATCTGCTTGGCTCCACGGTCAACACACTTGGCACCAGTAGCCAGGAAATCAAAAAACGTATTGCGATGGGAAAGTCGGCTGTTAGGGACCTCTCCAAAGTACTGATGAGCAATGGTGTCTCTTTGGAGACTAAGGTGTGTCTGATACAGGCCATGGTCTTTGCAGTCACTTGTTATGCATCGGAGAGTTGGACAGTGACTAAGGAGCATAGGAGGAGAACTGATGCCTTTGAGCTGTGGTGCTGGAGAAGAGTATTGAGGGCACCATGGACTGCCAAGAAAACAAACAGATTCATCCTGGAAAGGGTCAAACTGGGCTGCTCCTTGGAGGCAAGGATTCTAAGGCTCTGTCTAACATACTTTGGACATGTCGCAAGGAGGGACAGGTCCTTGGAGAGGGACATCATGCTTGGGAGGATGGAGGGACAGCGCAGAAGGGGAAAGCCCCCTATGAGGTGGATTGATTCAGTGACTGGGGTAATTGGGATGGGTGTGTCAGAGGCAGTGCGATTGGCACAGGATAGAGCAGGGTTTAGGGATGTTGTACATAGGGTCGCTATGAGTCGCAAGCAACTCGACGGCACATAACAACAACATATATACACACATTTATATATATTTTTATTGGAGATAATTTTTTTTTTTATATGTGTACAGTCAAATTGGATCTGACTGGTACAGGATTGTCTCTCCTTCTCCAGCAAAGCATCTGGTGGGATTTGAACCGTGCACCTCAGAGATTGCAGTGCAGCTTCCTGCCATTAGGCCACCAGAGCTCCCTGATAAATTTAACTGGTAAAATTTCATATTACTGAATATCATTAGAAATTTGCTAATATAGAATACATTAACACTAGGCAGTAACAAAAAAAAAAAGTAAGTAACAAAAGAGAGTAACAACAATTGCAGAAATCAGCCTCTTTGTTCTTGGCCTAGAACAGGATGAATGAATAATGTCTTGCCCTAGTTTAAGCATCAAGTGTAGAAACAGCTCATCAACCAACAGAAACAACTTAGATTCTGCTGCATGTGCATCAACGGAATAATCCTGTCTCACTAATTTAAGCTCTGTATGTACTCCCAAGCCAAATACCTTGTCTTCTGGGGTTTGGGTTTTTTCATTATTATTATTATTACTATTGTTGTTGTTGTTGTTGTTGTTATGTGCCGTCGAGTCGCTTACGACTCATAGCGACCCTATGTACAACAGCCCTAAACTCTGCTCTGTCCTGTGCCAATCGCACTGTCTCTGACACTCCCATCCCAATTATCCCAGTTACGAATCAATCCACCTCATAGAGGGCCATCCTCTCCTGAATCAATCCACCTCATAGAGGGCCTTCCTCTCCTGCGCTGTCCGTCCACCCTCCCAAGCATGATGTCCCTCTCCAAGGACCAGTCTTTCCTCTCGACATGTCCAAAGTATGTTAGACAGAGCCTCAGAATCCTTGCCTCCAAGGAGCCACCCGGTTCAACCCTTTCCAGGACAAATCTGTTTGTTTTCCT